AAAATCGCGATTTTCGCCGCTATCGGCCAAAAATAGCGCGATTTTCGCCGCTTGCGGCCTAAAACTGTGCGGTTATCGCCGCTAGCGGCCAAAAATCGGGCGATTTTTGCCGCTAACGGCCGAAAACCGCGCTATTTTCGACGCTAGCGGCCAGAAACCATGCGATTTTTGCAGCTGGCGGGCAAAAATCGCGCGAATTTCGCCGCTACCTGCCAAAAATCGACCGATTTTCGCCGCTAGCGGCCAAAAAACGGGCTATTTTCGCCGTTAGCGGCCAAAAATGGGGCGATTTCTGCCGCTAGAGGCCAAAAATCATGCAAATTTCGACGCTAGCGGCCACGATTTTTTGGCCGCTAGCGGCGAAAATCGCCCCATTTTTGGCCGCTAGCGGCGATAATAGCCCCTTTTTTGGCCGCTAGCGGCGAAAAACCCCCTTTTTTGGCCGCTAGCGTCGAAAATAGCGCGGTTATCGGCCGTTAGCGGCAAAAATCGCCCGATTTTTGGCCGCTAGTGGCGATAACCGCACGGTTTTAGGCCGCAAGCGGCGAAAATCGCGCTATTTTTGCCCGATAGCGGCGAAAATCGCGATTTTTGCACGCCAGCTGCGAAAATCGCGATTTTTGCACGCCTGCTGCGAAAATCACATGGTTTTTGGCCGCTAGAGGCGAAAATCGCGCTATTTTTGGCAGGTAGCGGCGAAAATCGCGATTTTTGCCCGCCAGCTGCGAAAATCGCATTTTTTTGTGCGCTAGCGGCGAAAATCGCGCGGTTTTTGGCCGGTAGCGGCAAAAATCGCGCTATTTTTGCCCGCCAGCTGCAAAAATCGCATAGTTTCTGGAAACTAGCGGCGAAAATCGCGCGATTTTTGGCCGCTAGCGGCGAAATTCGTACGATTTTGGGCCGCTAGCGTCGAAATTTGCACGATTTTTGGCCGCTAGCCGCGAAAATCGCCCCATTTTTGGCCGCTAGCGGCGAAAATAGCGCGGTTTTTGGCCGTTAGCCGCAAAAACCGCCCGATTTTTGTCCGCTAGCGGCGAAAATCGCACGGTTTTTGGCCGCAAGCGGCGAAAATCGCGCTATTTTTGGCCGGTAGCGGCGAAAGTCGCGATTTTTGCACGCCAGCTGCGAAAATCGCATGGTTTTTGGCCGCTAGAGGCGAAAATCGCGCTATTTTTGGCCGGTAGCGGCGAAAATCGCGATTTTTGCCCGCCAGCTGCGAAAATCGCATGTTTTTGGCCGCTAGCGGCGAAGATCGCGCGGTTTTTGGCCGTAGCGGCGAAAATCGCGCTATTTTTGCCCGCCAGCTGCAAAAATCGCATAGTTTCTGGCCGCTAGCAGCGAAAATCGCGCGATTTTTGGCCGCTAGCGGCGAAATTCGCACGATTTTTGGCCGCTAGCGTCGAAATTTGCACGACTTTTGGCCGCTAGCGGCGAAAATCACCCCATTTTTGGCCTCTAGCGGCGAAAATAGCCCCTTTATTGGCCGCTAGCGGCGAAAATCGGTCGATTTTTGGCAGGTAGCGGCGAAATTCGCGCGAGTTTTGCCCGCCAGCTGCAAAAATCGCATGGTTTCTGGCCGCTAGCGTCGAAAATAGCGCGGTTTTCGGCCGTTAGCCGCAAAAACCGCCCGATTTTTGGCCGCTAGCGGCGAAAATCGCACGGTTTTTGGCCGGTAGCAGCGAAAATCGCGCTATTTTTGGCCGGTAGCGACGAAAATTGCGATTTTTGCCCGCCAGCTGCGAAAATCGCATGTTTTTGGCCGTAAGCGGCGAAAATCGCGCGGTTTTTAGCCGGTAGCGGCAAAAATCGCGCTATTTTTGCCCGCCAGCTGCAAAAATCGCATAATTTCTGGCCGCTAGTGGCGAAAATCGTGCGATTTTTGGCCGCTAGCGGCGAAATTCGCACGATTTTTGGCCGCTAGCGGCGAAATTTGCACGATTTTTGGCCGCTAGCCGCGAAAATCGCCCCATTTTTGGCCGCAAGCGGCGAAAATAGCCCCTTTATTGGCCGCTAGCGGCGAAAATCGGTCGATTTTTTGCTGGTAGCGGCGAAATTCGCGCGATTTTTGCCCGCCAGCTGCAAAAATCGCATAGTTTCTGGCCGCTAGCGGCGAAAATCGCGCGATTTTTGGCCGCTAGCGGCGAAATTCGCACGATTTTTGGCCGCTAGCGTCGAAATTTGCACGATTTTTGGCCGCTAGCGGCAAAAATCGCCTCATTTTTGGCCGCTAGCGGCGAAAATTGCCCGTTTTTTGGCCGCTAGCGGCGAAAATCGGTCGATTTTTGGCAGGTAGCGGCGAAATTCGCGCGATTTTTGCCCGCCAGCTGCAAAAATCGCATGGTTTCTGGCCTCTAGCGTCGAATATAGCGCGGTTTTTGGCCGTTAGCCGCAAAAACCGCCCGATTTTTGGCCGCTAGCGGCGAAAATCGCACGGTTTTTGGCCGCAAGCGGCGAAAATCGCGCTATTTTTGGCCGGTATCGGCGAAAATCGCGATTTTTGCACGCTAGCTGCAAAAATCGCATGGTTTTTGGCCGCTAGAGGCGAAAATTGCGCTATTTTTGGCCGGTAGCGGCGAAAATCGCAATTTTTGCCCACCAGCTGCGAAAATCGCATGTTTTTGGCCGCTAGCGGCGAAAATCGCGCGGTTTTTGGCCGGTAGCTGCGAAAATTGCGCTATTTTTGCCCGCCAGCTGCAAAAATCGCATAGTTTCTGGCCGCTATCGGCGAAAATCGTGCGATTTTTGTCCGCTAGCGGCGAAATTCGCACGATTTGTGGCCGCTAGCGTCGAAATTTGCACGATTTTTGGCCCCTAGCCGCGAAAATCGCCCCATTTTTGGCCGCTAGCGGCGAAAATCTGTCATTTTTTGGCAGGTAGCGGCGAAATTCGCGCGATTTTTGCCCGCCAGCTTCAAAAATCGCATGGTTTCTGGCCGCTAGTGTCGAAAATAGCGCGGTTTTTGGCCGTTAGCCGCAAAAACCGCCCGATTTTTGGCCGCTAGCGGTGAAAATCGCATGGTTTTTGGCCGCTAGCGGCGAAAATCGCGCTATTTTTGGCCGGTAGCGGCGAAAGTCGCGCTATTTTTGCCCGCCAGCTGCAAAAATCGCATAGTTTCTGGCCGCTAGCAGCGAAAATCGCGCGATTTTTGGCCGCTAGTGGCGAAATTCGCACGATTTTTGGCCTCTAGCGTCGAAATTTGCACGATTTTTGGCCGCTAGCGGCGAGAATCGCCCCATTTTTGGCCGCAAGACATGTTGCCAAAGATGGAAGCCAAAGCAACAAACTTACGAACGTCATGGGCCCGGGGATAGACCACAGGCTGGCTAGACTTAACCCTGCAGACGACCTGAGACACCCGAGACCGGAAACAGGGAAGGAGGGAAACCGGGTCAACCCAAAGCGCATCCCTGGCCACCGAAGCCGTGGCGCGCAAATAACGGCGGAGAGCCACAACTGGACACAGCACATGATGCTCCCCCGGCCTGCATCAAGAACCTAAGGACCCTTCCAGAAAGCAGCAGTCTCATTCAACTCCAGAAAAGAAGAAGACGGCTGCAACCGAACCTACCATCAGGAGTAAAAAGAGCAGAAACCCCTGCACCGGAGGAGAGCATGAAGCTCCCCAACCCGACCCCCAGTGGCCAATGCCAAGAGGAAAAAGACCCTTAGAAAAACAATCCTGAACCGAAGGGGCCAAAACAAACCGAGGAGGAGAGAGAAAAGAGAAGGAACCAAGGGTCGACGAAAGGCAGACATCAACCAGGCAGGAAGACAAAAACAAAAACACACAAGAGAACACCGTACTTAGGCGGAACAGAGCCAGCTGCTGTAAGTGGTAAAAACTAGCTGTGCAATACTCTGCACTGCTACCAGTGACGAAAACTACCTTCAACCTAGAGAAAAACAAGAGCAGCAAGACCCGAGCAGACTCCAACAGCGGCCAAGTATCTAGCAGTAAAAAGTACAGCGGAGGTAGACCCAAAGGTGACTTGTGGTTGCCCCAAGCCCCAAGGTAAGACAACCCTAGGAGCATGCAGCTCGAGTACTGTAGAATATTACTCCTGGCTCGCACACGCCCTGTAGAGACAGACTATGCCACAAGGCACACTAACCGAGAACAAAACTGAAACCAGAGGCCAATAACCGACCAGCCAATAACACATCAACAAAGACCTGCGGGTTGGATCGCTGGCGCGAGGGGTCTGGGGCGCCCCCATCCCCCTCCCTGGAAAAGGGGGGAGGGGATGCAGATGGCAACGCGGAGACGTGATGTCTTGCCAGTTGCTAGTTTTCATTTAGGGAGTTCTGTCCACTCGTTCGGCTTTCGGTAGCATTTTTTTTTTTTTTTACAGAATAGGGGTTTGTTTTGTGACGCCTACCTTGCGGGATGACAGACCTGGTTGATGGCACAGACAGAATGCTTACAACCACACGGAGGATTTCTATTGACTATTGCGCCTCACGCTTCTCTGAGGGGGCCAGGTTCTGGCTCGTGGTCCCAGGAAGGCAAGAACTCTATGCACTTTGATGCCAGAAAGCTGATAAGTACATATCAGCCTGGATAGCTCCGGGGAGCCGACAGAGTTCCCCCCAGAAATATTAGTTCCCCCATATAAAATAATAATTGCTTTTAAACATTGTTGTCACAGTAATTCTTCAACTAAAAGGATTTGAGGGGCAAGTTTTTTTATTTATTTATTCCATGAAAAAAAATATATATACAGCATTTACACCTAAGTATATGATGCGGTTCCAGCCGCATGACATGAAAAACAAAAATACACATTCAGCACAACAAAATCGCTCGCTCGATAGACCAGCAGAGGGAAAGCCTCTGAATTAGATGCTCAATAATGTAACAACATATACAAATATTTGTAAAATAAGAATATACACACACACACAGTTCTATATATACATACATATTTAGTATATATTTATATATATATAGTTGTATACATACATATTTAGTATATATACATACATATTTAGTATATATACATACATGTTTAGTATATATATAGTTGTATATACATACATATTTAGTATATATATATAGTTGTATATACATACATATTTAGTATGAATATACTGTATAATCAATGGTGGAATACGTTTGTGTGGACCAAGTTCTCTTGCTAATAATTTACATAATAAACAGCGCCTAATACACATACAATAGAAAATGCTATACAGTACAATATAGCATTTTAAAACAGGCCTTCAACAAGAGCCTAACAAAAGCAAACTTTACAAACATGTAAAGTTGCCTCTGAATATAGCATATTTTAAATTTTGCAATAATGTATAATGTGTGCTTGATCCCTTTTCTGTTATAATAGAATGCTTTGATTCAGAGCTATTGATTCTTGAAACTAAGAACTTAAATCTATTTACCAATAATTAACAAAGCCACTTTGCTTTCATAGTTCTTTGGTAAGCTTTCATTAAAGAAATAATCAACATTTATATAGTCAATAACATGGAAATTGTCATCAAACTTAATATATCTTCCCCTGAGAAGTCCTACAGCTTGCCACAGCAGCAATGGCACAAGAACACTATCTTATTACTATGTACAACAACTGATGGTGACGGTTGAACCTAGGCAATACTGTGCTTGCAGGAAAGCTATTTTTTTCTAAATGTCACAAAAATTAAACAAATATTGTTGCTAACAAAACATTAATGTTCATTTTATGTAGAACCATTGTAAACTGGAAACTGTATTATAGTATACCTTAATATTTACATTCCTTGACTGTTTTTTTTTAATAATAGTAATGAGCATTTTGTTAACTAATAACCCACAATGTATTTAAAATCTTACATTATGAATACATATAGTCTTGTGCAAATATATATACGTATAGGCACATCTATGGACCTAGCTCAATATGAGGTGGTATCACAGGGTGAATGAAGAGAAGCTTCAATGTAGCGTTCCTACAATGAAGTTCCTTAAATAGGTTTTAGGTCAGCTACAACAGTCTTATCCTAAAACATCCCCAGTCGATAGATTATCTAATTTGGACTCTCGTTAAATATGAAAAGCTTGAGTATTGTAGATAAATTTAAATAGATTTATCTACAAGTTGTATCCTTTTTTGCTTCTTGTGGTTTTCAGAATAAATAAAATTGATGAAGTCATAATTTCCTGACTGCAGGCGATGAGTCACAATAACGTGGCTGACGTATGTTGACCAGACCACACACTAGAAATTGAAGGAACGACGACGTTTCGGTCCGTCCTGGACCATTCTCAAGTCGATGACTTTCCTGACTGCGTCCTTAGGAAACCATCATTGCTGATTTGTATCTTCTAGTCTAGGTACTGGCCGCCCATGAGATCCAGTCAGACGTGTATGACACTTTGTGGTATATACCTGCCGAGAAACAATTTATTAGCACGTATTTATTGTTTTTGTCAAGACATTTTTATTTATAAAATATTGTACAGTATATACTTTATTTTTTTAGTTGCATTTCAGTAATGCAGTACTGAATATTCCCACTCCAAATAGGCAAATACCTGTTTTAATCATGTATATCCTGAATATAAAAGCACTACAGAATATACTGTATTCTTATGTGTACTTTTATCTTCACTTATTTTGTAACACCAATCCTGACCTCGAACATTTTTGAAGAGCTACAACAGATCACTCTGGCACCACTTTAGAAGTAAGTATATCTTTGATGGTTCCAAAGTCTGACTTGACTAAAGCAGACTGATAGGGTAGGAAAGTTATTCTGCCAATTTCGACCCTATTGCATGATGTAGTTCTGGGAATCAGTGACCCCACAGGCAACAAATACGATAGTTCATACAGCTACTATGGTTGGAATGTATGAAATATGGTGTTTTTGTGCCAAAATACTATTGTGTACACAATACTACACAATAGTACACTATTGTGTACACAATAGTACACAATAGTACACTATTGTGTACTATTGGGGCACAAACAAACTGAGTAGCCATAAATCTAATCTACCTTCAGCCTATTGAAAGGGATATGTATATGATTCGTTTTGTAGGGGGACACGCACCCTGTGTGTATATATATATATATATATATATATATATATATATATATATATATATATATATATATATATATATATATGTCGTACCTAGTAGCCAGAACGCACTTCTCAGCCTACTATGCAAGGCCCGATTTGCCTAATAAGCCAAGTTTTCATGAATTAATGTTTTTCGACTACCTAACCTACTTTAACTAACCTAACCTAACTTTTTCAGCTACCTAACCTAACCTAACCTATAAAGATAGGTTAGGTGAGGTTAGGTAGGGTTGGTTAGGTTCGGTCATATATCTACGTTAATTTTACCTCCAATAACAAAAAATTGACCTCATACATAATGAAATGGGTAGCTTTATCATTTCATAAGAAAAAAATTTGAGAAAATATAATAATTCAGGAAAACTTGGCTTATTAGGCAAATTGGGCCTTGCATAGTAGGCTGAGAAGTGCGTTTCTGGCTACTAGGTACGACATTTCATATTATATATATATATATATATATATATATATGTCGTACCTAATAGCCAGAACGCACTTCTCAGCCTACTATTCAAGGCCCGATTTGCCTAATAAGCCAAGTTTTCATGAATTAATGTTTTTCGTCTACCTAACCTACCTAACCTAACCTAACCTAGCTTTTTTGGCTACCTAACCTAACCTTACCGATACATATAGGTTAGGTTAGGTTAGGTAGGGTTGGTTAGGTTCGGTCATATATCTACGTTAATTTTAACTCCAATAAAAAAAAATTGACCTCATACATAGAGAAAAGGGTTGCTTTATCATTTCATAAGAAAAAAAATATAGTAAATATATTAATTCAGGAAAACTTGGCTTATTAGGCAAATCGGGCCTTGAATAGTAGGCTGAGAAGTGAGTTCTGGCTACTAGGTACGACATATATATATATATATATATATATATGTCGTACCTAGTAGCCAGAACTCACTTCTCAGCCTACTATGCATGGCCCGATTTGCCTAATAAGCCAAGTTTTCCTGAATTCATATATTTTCTCTAATTTTTTTCTTATGAAATGATAAAGCTACCCATTTCATTATGTATGAGGTCAATTTTATTTTATTGGAGTTAAAATTAACGTAGATATATGACCGAACCTAATCAACCCTACCTAACCTAACCTAACCTATCTTTATAGGTTACGTTAGGTTAGGTAGCCGAAAAAGTTAGGTTAGGTTAGGTAGGTTAGGTAGTCGAAAAACAACTAATTCATGAAAACTTGGCTTATTAGGCAAATCGGGCCTTGCATAGTAGGCTAAGAAGTGCGTTCTGGCTACTAGGTACGACATATATATATATATAAATATATATATATAAATATATATATATAAATATATATATATAAATATATATATATAAATATAAATATATATATAAATATAAATATAAATATAAATATATATATATATATATATATATATATATATATATATATATATATATATATATATATATATATATATATATATATATATATAATATAATATATTATTGTGTGTGTGTGTAAATGTTCGTTTGTTCAAAATCGCTAATTTCCGAAAGTTCTTCACCGAGTGCTTTGAAATTTTGACAACGTTCCATTCGCATACGAGCTTGTTTTTAGATACTTGCTATATAGATGTAACGTCAGTGACAGGTAAAAACATGCTTTTTGAAAAAACTGTGTTTTTCATGTTTGTTTTCATGCGAGGGAAATCTCCGAAACCTCTTTACCGATTGCTCTGAAATTTTGACACAACATTGCATTCAAATACGCGCGTGTTTTTATATACCTACTACATACATGCCACACCTGTGACAGGCAAAAACATGCTTTATTTGAAAAACGGCCCCATCTGTTGGACGTAAGGTCAACACACGTTGTAATCTCCGAAAGTTCTTCACCGATTGCTTTGAGATTTTGACACAACGTTCCATTCGAATACACGCGTTTTTAAATACTTACCTTACTGTAGTGAGTAAACATTATACCCGCTGCAATCTTTATTTACTTTAATGACAAACTCATTAGCACTAATTATGACTACTCAAATTCTTTCCCTAATTACAGGTAAAATTCTTTCCATCCTTTTGGAGGAAGTTGAGTAGTCCAATAATATAAGCAGTCAAGAAGCGAGTAAGCATCTGTACAATTTCCACAATGATTCAATTAACATCAGTACAGACGCCTCGGATTTACCACACATCTTCATCCTCAAAAATGTAGCACTCAGCGTGTACAGTTCCAACCGAACCCCAAGACACTACAGCATCGACACAGCAGACAGCAGAATACGACCTCGTCGAGCTACAACCCTCTCGTTCCCTATCAAGTTTAGACACTCACGATTTCCCATCGAGCCGCCATGCGCTCTCCTGCGTAGAGCTCCGCGACTACGTAGGACGTGGGAACAAGGGTGGATTGCTGTGGCTCAGCAACACGCATGCATTGCTCATGATCAAGTTTTCATTGGGTTATACAGTATATGATTGCAATTTTATGTTATTCCAGTCAAAACTAAAACTTGATCAAACCTAACTTAGCCTACCTATTCTAACCTATCATAAGTCAGTAATTCATGTTCCTAATATTATAGATTATTATTGTTAGAAAAGAACCAATCTAGAGAGAAATATTTGAAAATAACAAAAATCATTCTGCCTGTTAGGCACATCGGACCTTGCATACTAGGCCAATAAATGCGGTTCTGGCTATTAGGCACGACTATATAAATTATAGTCATAACAAATAACCACATAGGTACGACTAATATATAGTTGTACCTGATGTGTACCCAGGTGTGGCCCTCAGTCGCTCTGGCTTCAGTTGCCTTCCTCAAATAAGCGGTTGCTAAGGGCCTTTGAGACAGCGACGCCTGGTTGACCTTAGTAGCTCGCTTGGGTTTTATGAAGCCCAAATGTGTTCCAGCTGTTTACGCTCGCTACTTTCAGCTATTTGAAGCCTGTTTTGGCTACAAGGAGCCTAATCGTGCTGCCAGCTGTTTACGTTCGTGGCTTCAGCTCTTTCGGTTCCGACATCTCTGCTAGTACGTACTAGTGTCAGTACGACTATGCAGGGACGTTAAAAAAATCTCGGTAGTGCTGGTACCTCGAATGACAACCTGCCTGACTGCATGATTTGTTTTCACAGGAATCTTTCCTTAGGGTTGAGCTAGGAAATTATTCTTTTCTTAGATACAAAAATGTTCAGGAAACGACTAGAGGAGAGAACAACTAAATTTTGCTTACCCGGTTGTTTGCCCTGAGCACATGAATACCCAGCAGACACAATGCCAGCCAGGTACCAGCGTCCCCCATCCTGTATCATGAGTGGCCCTCCTGAGTCTCCTTGACAGGAATCTTTACCTCCTTCACCATACCTGTACCAAAAAGCAAGATTGGAAGTTATAATTGTAATTACAAAACTATTTCCATAGCTGCTGAAGTTTTTATTTTCATTAAAATACATGGGTGACCATCTTTAAAATGCAAAATACTACATAATGTACTATACATCCTAAACTTGCAATATATTGATAAAAAAATTAATATTCGGTACTGAATTTTATTATATTTTAAATCCTTCTAGAATATATACAATATTCCTCTCAATTTTCATGCAGATTTTTTTTATATAATCAGTTTATCATACTTTAATGTGGGGAGTCCCGTGGGTTCCCTGAAGCTATCCGAAATGGTATATCTGGGGTCATCAGTCACACGAGTTCTTATGCCTACTGGGGGACCACGAGCCAGTTCCTGGCCTCCTCAGACAGGCTCAGGGAGCAATGGCCTATGAGCACTTTACATTTAAAGTATGTCATAATTGTCATAGACCGAGGAAGGCACCCAAAAAGATAGACGAAATAAAACGGTCCACAGTCTTGTAAAAATTCGGACCTATGTCTGAAAAAAGCAAAAGAACTCCCCCGGAAGAAAACAAATAAGCAACACTTCATCTAACTAGCACTCTCCTCATTAGCATTCTTCCCCGCCACCCCCAAAAGGCGGGACGGGGAGCCAGCAGCTCACCACCCCAGTTCTTGAACTGATGTGCTGGTGGTCAGTTCGGTCACCTCTGACCTCAATTTCCTGTTCTGGATTTTGCTCTGTGTGGCTGTACCAGCAGTGTGTGGTGTGGTGGCCAGGTGTCAGTGTACAGAGCAGCATGGGCCTAGGGTTATCTTCCCTAGGTGCTCCGTACATACTACCATTTTGTTTCTGGTTTATCTTCCCTGGGACATTTGGGAATCACTTCCATTTGAGGACTTAGTCATTTGGCACTGAATTTTCCTCTGGGGTACGTTGGGGGGGGGGGGGGGGTCTTGGGCTTTCCATGTTGCCCCCTAGGTGGGGAGTTTTATTGGTTTTATTCCTCTCGGCTTACCCCTGCGGAGGTTCGGGAGGCCCCTTGTGTATACCTCCTGCACAACCTGGTTTATGCCTCTGTGTTGGATCCGGTTTTGTTTGATTCCACTGTTTGGGTGTGTTCCGAGGTTCCGGCGTCTTCCTGGCTGGCAGCCTGCCTCATCAATTTGTTGATGTGAGCTCCCTGCCGGTCTGCTTGTCTGCTAGCCGGGGTTCTGGTTCTTTCCGAGCTTGCCGGGTTTGGTTTCCTGGTAACTTGGCAGAGGTCCCAGTTGGTGTTGTTCCGAGTTCGGACTTGGCTGGGCCTAGTAGAGGGTTCTCGGACTTCGTACGTTTTACTCCCTCCTGCAGCTTTGCTCCGGATTCAGTACCGCCTTCTGCTGTTTTTGAGGGGGTTCCCGGTTCACTTTGTGGTTGCTCAAGCAGCTGTGCGAGAGCCTGGATTTTGCTCTGCTGGTGTATCTGATTGGCAGGACTGGGTTTGGGAGGCTGTTCTGGTATCTTCGGAGCAGCCTCTTTCACCGCTCTTGCTGGGTTCGTTGCCGTGTGTGTATCAGCCAGTTACTGAGTCACTGGGTTCCTTTCGTTTTTTGTTTTTTTTCGGGGTTCGGTGCCATGGCACCTTCCTCTTCCCTCGCTCGATGTTTTCACGGACATAGGTCCCTTGATTGGTGCTTTGTGACCAGTGCTCACCAGTCAGGCCAGGGGCGTTTGGAGCTGTTCTTACGTCGGACTTACAGCACGTTGCAGGAGTTTGCCGCTGTTTGGCAGGTTCTGCGACGGATTCTGCTTCCTTGGGGTTCGGTGATCAGGCTCCATTCGTACTGCTTCTCCGTGATTCACCGTCTCATCCGGTTGGGGGGAAGGTCCCTTTGGTCTATGGCCCTTTGGGGGCTTGACGCTTCGGGTAACTCTTCTGCCGAATTCTCGGGACTTAGCTCTCCACGCTGTTCACATTCTGGTAGTGTCATCATCTTGGCAGATGGGCTGTCGCGCTTCATTCCTCTTTCCACGAAGTGGACGGTTGACTCTACCTCCTTCCTTTGGATTTGTTGGGCGTACGGGCACCCGGAGATGGAACCTCTCCACGTCGGTACTGTTTCGGCGTCTCCCATTGTATGTGGCGCCGTTCCCCGATTGTGAGGCCTTCGCGTTCGGGGTTCCTGTACCTCTTTCCTCCGGTCTGGCTGTTGCTCCATGTTCTGGATTGGCTGGAATTCTCTTAGGGGAGGATGATTCTCCAGGCCCTATGGTGGCCGGCTCAGTCTTTGTTTCAGGCGCTGCTTGCTCGGTGTCCAAACCCGGGTGTTCTTCTGTGTCTCCACCTCTTTTAGCAGGTCAGGCTGGTGAGGTACCTCGCTGGTTCTACTTTCTCTTTAGCTCTTTGCGGGTTCTTTTTTTCTTTCTTCTTCTAGAATTGTCGTGGCCCTTTCAGTCCGTGTTTGCTTTTGGAAAGCCTTGTTTTTGTTGGCTTTGGCCTCCTGGGGTCGGATTGGGGAGCTTCATGCTCTTCTCCGGCGCCGTGGTTTTTGTTCGTTTGCAGTCTTCTCCTTTTCTGGCAAAGAATGAGATGGCGGGCTTCTGGAGGGGTCCGTTGGTTGTAGAGGCTTGGTTTATTAGGCTGGTTGGGAAGGGGGGGGGGGGCGAGGGCGGTGCATCATGTGCTGTGTCTGGTGGGGGCTTTATGTTACTACCTGCGGGCCACTGGTTTGGCCATGGTGGACGCGCTCTGGGTGGATCCAGTTTCCTTGGTTTCAGGGCTTGTGTGTCTCAGGTTGTCCGTGGCGTAATTAAGTCTAGCCTCATGGTCTACCCTCGTTTTTTTTTTTGGGGGGGGGGGGGGAGGGGGGGAGACCCGATTTGAAGGAGGGGGGGATGCTAACGAGCTGGAGTGCTAGTTGGATGAAGTGTTGCTCGTTTGCTTTCTTCCTGTGGGAATTCTTTTGTTCTTTTCGAACGGAGGTTGTAATTTTTACCAGATTGTGGTTCCTTTTGTTTCGTCTATCTTTCTGGGTGCCTTTCCTGGTCGATGGATATTATGACATACTTTACATTTAAAGTGCTCATAGGCTCATAGGATCCCTGCGCCTCTCTGAGGAAAGTCAGGGACGAGTTCCTGGAACGTTCCTCAGGAACGGCCAAGAACTCGTTCCTGGCTTATGCTTACTGGGGACCATTGTCTCGTGGTCCCCAGTATACATAAGAATTGTGACTGATGACCCCCCAGATATAGCACATACCAGTTTGGATAGCTTCAGGGATCCAAGAAAATGGTGTTTCATTACATTCAACGCTGGTTTTACTGGGTAACAAAATATATTAGCCTGAAGCCCACAATCTCTAGTAGTCTGGGCAGAAATAGGAACTTTGTGGACTTCCCATTCTTAATGATAAACTATCAGTTACCTTTTTACCCATTGAGTAATACCCAAAAAATTGCCAACCTGCTGAAGCCATAAATGACAAGATTCCAGTTTATAATTAAGCAGGAAAAATCCTCTAAGACAATGGAGGACTTTTGACATGCATCTGGATTCCTGTCTATTAAGGCCCCTAGAGAAATAAATAAAAACTTACCCAGCACACATCATTTCATCATATATAATGACATTGATGCCTTTTTGCCTATGCCAGTCCTCACAAAGGCGAGAATCCAGGATAGGCACATCTACAACCTGCAAAGTTTTGGGTCGTAGGCGTGATCCTGTGAGGAAACAAAATGAAAATACAATGTCTTGATTCGTGTCTAAACACTCGGTAGACTAATTCAGTCTAACAGATCATTTTGTAAACTGATACAATCAGTAATTATAATTTCAGGCATAAATAGTACCAATTTTGTTAAAATGATACATTCAATAAAGTTCATATTTAGAAAATCAATACACCTAATAATTTATGCATCATATACTAAATAAGGTTGATGTAGGTTCCACGTCCATATGAATTTGTAAATGTTTGTAAACTTTACCCTATCATGTTCACTTTTGCATTACATATGACATACCAGATTGTAATGCTCCCCATCCGGCAGCCCAGGCATAGCTTCCTAGCCAATCTGCTCCTTTCTCTGGCAGACATATAGGCTGTACATGAGGCTGGTAGTGCACAGGCGCATCCAGTGTGATTACTGCCACGTCAAACCTATCGGCTTGTGGTGTGAACTTGAACTTTGGATGAACCTGAAATAAACATTTCATTATATATATCTACAGTATATACAATATATTATAATGTTTTAAAGTTTTCCATTAATTAATGGGCTTATAGCCAAATTACTGGCTATCAACTAAGACTTTTAAATAGTGTGATATAAATGAGTGCATACACACACACACAAACACACGTACGCTATACTACGTTTGTAGGCTTCTGAATTGCTATTAAATGGATGGATGGATACAAAATAAATTTTTAATGACAGTTATGAGACCAAAATTGGAGTATGGCTCAGCTGTATGGTGCTCATATCTGATAAAGCACATCAATAAACTTGAAAGGGAGCAAACACATGCTACAGTAGGAAAAAGTATGCCTTTACACCTCAGGTCCTTGGAATGTGCAAAATTGCAACGCCGCATGTGTTGTTAGAGCTGTAGTGGGTTTGATTATGAGTGAATAAGCGCTTTGTAACGACAAGTCTTATCGGTCAAAACACCACACACTGTTTACGTAATTCTCTTGGCCATCAAAAGGAAAATAGAATGGCGAAGTGACTGAATATATGTAGATTATTAAAAGAGGGAGATGGCTCTACTTTTGTGCTTAAGAGTTTACTGACCTTTTATGCAAGTAATTATCAAAAGAAGGCACCAAACCGGGAAGGCTATGTAGCACCATCAAATGTGCAGAATAATCAGAGGGCGCTAAATATCACCAAGGATGCCAATACGAGAACAAAAACGCATAAGGCGAACGATATCAAAAGTATCAGTCACCAAGAATTCTATTGAGGGACAGGCGACCGCGAGGGGCGGTCGGAAAGCAAGACACACGCTCGTCCTGAAGTCAGGACATTCATGACGGACATGCATGACCGTAAGAGGGACAATGCAATTAGGACAATAAGGAGCAGGGCGGCGCTCCAAGTGACCATTGGTTAAGCGAGTATGGCCAATATGCAACCTCGCCAGAGCTGTTTCCCATCGCCGGTTACGGTGGTAGGAGGACGGCCACGAGGAAACACAACATTCAAGAGTACGTAGTTTGTTACCAGTAACAGACGACCAAGAAGCCTGCCAACGGGTAAGGATGGAGGAATGGATAACCGGGTAAAAGTCGGAATATGGAATACCTTTACGAGAGATGGGACAAGAGCGGACAGCTTCCTTGGCGGCAGCATCCGCACGCTCATTTAAAGACACACCAATATGGCTGGGAACCCAACAAAACTCAACCGACTTAAATTTACTGTGAACAAGAAACAGCCAATGCTGGATCTCGACAACTACTGGATGAACCGGATTAAAGGACCCGAGAGCCATGAGGGCACTACGAGAGTCAACAACAACTACAAAGGAAGACTGACAACGAGAAAGCAGGAGACGAAGAGCATAAAGAATAGCATAAAGCTCCGCTGCAAAGATGCTAGTCTCCGGAGGTAAGCGACACATATAAGTGCGATCAGGAAAAACAACAGAGTAGCCAACACCGTCCGCAGACTTAGACCCATCGGTGAAGACAGAAACGGAGCAGGAGTGAGAAGAAAAGTGCTCAAGGAAAAGGCGTTTTAGAACCGTAGGAGGGGTAAAAGCTTTAGTGATACGGGTCAAGGATGTACAAAACCGCGGAAGAGGGACTCTCCGCGGGGGCAAGGAAGGAACAACACGAGGAGAAACATTAGAAACACGAACGGAGAGAGAATCCTGTAAGCGAGATAACCGGACAGGAAGAGGTAGGTGGTGAAGAGGAACAGGAACCGCAGGAGGGGTAAAAGTTAAAGCACGACAGTGGCGAGAGGAAGGATGTTGCAAGGACCGCGCAAGATAGCGAAGACAGTAGCGATCACGGCGGTCCTGGAGAGACAGGAAGCCAGTGTCAACATACAAGCTAAGGACGGGAGTCGAACGAAAGGCACCAGAACTGAGGCGCAACCCAGTATGGTGCAAAGCATCAAGACGGCGAAGAGTAGAAGGAGAAGCAGATGAGTAGAGTGCTGGGAAGACGGGACACTACGTGGGTAGCTCTCATCTCATAACTACACATAGTAATTACGTATACAGTACAATACTTATATTTTTTTAATTTTTACTCTAAAGAAATATAATTACGGTACATTTTACTTCACATACAGCACTTATTTTCGTTAATGGCTTCCCACTGTTGAAGACAAAGCCAGTGGGCTCATTCAGGGTCCCCCCCCCCCTTCCCAGGACATAACCGACCTTCCCCAGGCAAGCCACAGTTGCCAAACATACAGGTGCCTATTTACAACTAGGTGAACAGAGGAATCGGGGTAAAGAAATTACCCGAGTTTACCTGAGGGCCACTATCTTTATAGTGACCTCGATGAGGACAGAAAGCTGGCAGCTTGTCAAAGGACCCCAACTTTTGAACAATTTATGTATCGTTTGCCACGTACGAAACGCCACAGCATATATTACCTAATAACTGAGATAATCAGATATTGAGGCTCGAGATAATCTCAAGATACGAGTGTTACATAGTCTCCACGGTTTGGTGCCTTCTTTTGATAATTACTTGTCACGTATGATGAGGCCTTTAATGGATGCTGGTCAATACTGAAAAGATAGATACTAGAACCCAATGACATTTTAAAGTAATGGACATTTGGAAATAACTGTTAAGTGTGAGTTACCTTTATCTCTGTAGCTCCAAACGTAAGTGGGCCAAGTGGCTCCCGGTCTGAGTTAAGAACATAGTCACCAAGGGTTACCCGAATTTGGTGAGGTCGTGCCCTGCAAATTAAAGTATGACATGAATTATTCCAATGCTTGGAAGCAATGAGAATTCTATTTTAATTCTCTGCTTAATCATAACATGTCTTGACAAGGTTGGCATATATATCAATTTAGAATTAAAATGTATTGATTTTAAAAATTTATAACACAAGATGGGTCACATTGGTTATGCAGAAAATACATAGAGTCACAAGCTGCTTAGTTTCTCAAGCTCCTGTGATAACTGGCAAGAGTCATGACTCCAATTTGCATTTCCCCTTCATAATGCTATTCTGGTGTCTTAGGACAAAGTAAAAAAAAAAATGCTGAAGGAGTTAAGTAGGAACACTTAAGTAGTTGGCTGAGATATAGTTTCAACTTGAACCCTAAGAGCACATCTGAGCTGAGCATTACACTTCAGGTGATTTTTCTGGCATCTTTAAGTACAGGAAACTTGCCAGATATATGGAAAAAGGCTAATATTGTTCCTATATACAAAAGTGGCAGCAGGGATGACCACTTTAATTACAGACCCGTATCATTGACAAGTGTAATATTCAAAATATTGGGAAAAATATTTAAACTAATGTGTAGTACACCTGGCGAAAAATTATATAAAGTAACATGAAGAAATTAATGGTTTTCAATCTGGAAGATCCTGTGTAACGAATTTGTTTAATTTCTATGATAAAGCCACAAAGTTTTAGAGGAGAGATGGTTGGGTTGACTGCATTTATCTGGACCTAAAAAGGCTTTTAACAGAGTTCCACATAAGATGCTGTTCTGGAAACTGGAACATACTGGAGGAGTGACAGGGAAGCTTCTAAGATGGATGAGCAATTTTCTGACAGAAAAATGAAGGCAGAATTCAGAGGCAATGTATCGGACTGGAGAAATGTCATGAGTGGAGTACCACAGAGTTCAGTTCTTGCACCAGTAATGTTCGCTGTCTATATAAACGACCTACCGGAAGGAATACAAAATTATATAAGCGACCTACCGGAAGGAATACAAAATTATATAAGCGACCTACCGGAAGGAATACAAAATTATATAAGCGACCTACCGGAAGGAATACAAAATTATATAAACGTATTTGATGATGATGCTGCTGAGATACTAGTGAAATAAGAAACAAAGGATTGTCATGCCCTTTAAGAAGACCTGGACAAAATAAGTGTATGGAGCACCATTTGGCAAATGAAATTTTATGTGAATAAATGCCATGTTATGGAATGAGGAATAGAAGAAAATAGACCACTCACAACCTACAAATTATGTAAAACATCTTTACAAAATTCTGATAAAGAAGGAGCTCTAGGAGTGGTTCTAGATAGAAAACCATCATCTGAGGACCACATAAATAACATTGTGTGAGGAGCCTATGCTACGCTTTTCAATTTCAGAATTGCTTTTAAATACATGGATAGTGATATACTAAAGAAATTGTTCACGACCTTTGCGAGACCAAAGCTGGAATATACAACGGTTGTATGGTACCAATATCTCAAGCACATAAAAAACTGGAAAATGTGCAAAGACATGCAACTAAGTGGCTCCCGGAACTGAAAGACAAAAGCTACAAGGAGAGGTTAGAGGCATGAAATATGACAAAACTAGAAGACAGAATAAAAAAAAGAGGCAATATGATCACTATGTACAAAATAGTAACGGGAATTTACAAAATTGATAGTGAAGAATTCCCGACACCTTGAACCTCGGGAACAGACTTAAACTAACAAAACAAAGCTGCCGAAGAAATCTAAGAAAATGTACTTTCGCAAACAGAGTGGTAGACTGCTGGAACAAGTGAAAATAGTTTAGTGGAGGCCAAAACTGTCAGTAGTTTCAAAGCGTTATATGACAAAGAGTACTGGGAAAATGGGGTACCATGAGCGAAGCTCTCATCCTGTAACTCCACTTAGGTAATTACGCACACATGCACAATATATGAAGATAAACGAAGAGACATCATGCAGGACAAAGGGTGATCTTACTGTATATTCAATGTTCTTAAAACTGCCAAAATGCATTGGATACTGGGCCCAGAGAAAACTCTCATAAGAACATGCAAGACTTGAATCTAGACCTCAAAAGTATTGTACTGTAATATCTTTAGGGACTTGATCCTGTGGTATGGGTTGGGATTCAAATAATTTATTTCATGCAATGTGAACAGCAGTTTGATAGAAAGAGTATCAAAAGACAATTAACTGTGCAGTTAGGTTATTTGGAGAGCAATTGTGCTTTGTAAACTGTTAAATTCAGCCATTCATAATCATTGAAATTTAAGTTGCAAAATATCTCTTCTTGTGGTAGATAAACATGGAAGATGCAGTGACTCACCTGGCAACACAATGGCCAGCAGTCACCACATGATACTGATTGATGAGTGATCCTCCACATCGACTGGAGCCAATCCGGATGTATGCCTAAGGGTCAGGTGAGGTCAGGGTAGGGGAGGATTGGATGCAAAATAAATCATGAAAATTACCTGACAATTAGTCTATATTTTTTCTAATTCGTACCACATTTATTTCATCCAAGAGTCAAGCTGTTTAAAAAATATGATATTAGAAGCTAAGCCCAGAAAAGTTTCAAATATTTTCTTCTACTACAGTACATTTTATGCTTAGGTGTGCAGGAGTTCCCTATGCATTCTTGTGTATTCAACAATATAATTTTCAACAAAATCTTTAGCATCCACTATATGGTGTATGAATGTAAACAAAAAATTGCAGAGAAATATTGCCATTATATATTGAGTCTACAGGACTAGGCTACTCCTATTAGTAATTATAATGAGATTCACCACAAATATTACCTAGAAAATTCTCATCAAAATCTTATATATTTTCCATCTTGTTGCAACTATATGAAGGTTTGAAACAAAATTTAGGAAATGATTGTAGAGTTAGATATTAAAAATTAGCTTAAATTTTGCGTTTAATATAGTTAGCTAGTCAGTTGTTATGAAAGCTGTGAGCATAGGAGATCCTGATCTTGTTTATTTTCTTTAAAATTTTCCACTAAGAGTGTTGCATGGTATATCTTGACAGCAATACCGAGTCCTGTAACTAATATGATTGCCCCTTTTTATAGTATTCTGTGATGTCATGTGGAATAACTTTACAAATGAATGTTCTTATGAATTATCTCTGAAATTTCCTTACAAGATAAGGATTCCATGATCCTCTCTTTAACCTCTTGGCTTGAGAAAAAAAAATAGCAATTTACATTTATCAATTTACAATTTTGTCAGCAAACAAAAGAAAACTATATTCAATATAATAAAAAAAAACATCCGAAGCCAGCTTGTCACCCTGCTTTATCCCCTGTTCAGATAGTCAGGTCCTGTGTGGCTTCTACACCATCTGTCAGAAGATTCCCTATCCTGCTTCAGTATCTCTGAAGGAGGAGACTATGTCATGACCATTATCATCACACTGGCAATACCTTCCTGTACCAGGTTTGCCAGTGAATAGGGAACTTTGTATTATCAGTCAGATGTCTCATTCTAGTTACTGTACCAACTGTCAGGAGGTGTCATGTCTTGCTGCATCCACTGTGTTCCGTGTCTTGTCTTGAGACCTTCAAACTGTCTGAGGTTGCTCTGTCCACTGCTCTGCAAGATTTTCTTAGGAGTGACACTTTATGATTTTCAAAGATATACATCTGATTTATGTAGCCCTATTTACGAGAATTAAAAGTTACCAGTAACAATGTACACAGCACTAAAGAAACTATCGAAACTGTTGAGCAATTAAAAAAAAATAGTATAAGAAGAAATTTTATGCATCTAAAAATATAGTATTTTTTCCACTGCCAGCTATTTTTACCAAGAGATAAAACTGAAGTACAAATTATAACATTTAGAAGATAATGTTACTTAATTCAGGTGTGGACCAAATGGTTTAATGCTCGTTCTCTCTGTGTGATTACAATTCAGAGACATTTGATTTTGGTACTGTATATACAAGACAAGATTAAATAAAAAATTATATATCCATTACCTTCTAAAATTAAAAAAATTGTATGCCACATCATGTAATGAACCTCAATATAACAAAAATAATCAACAATGACAGCTTGTCTGTTATGTAGAAATACAAAATGAGGTGAAGAGGTCTTGACTAGGTTCAGTAGTCATCCTGTATTTTAGATACGAGGCACCACTGGGTTTTGTCAGTTTATTTCTTTGTCATTCTACTTGGTTGCTCTCTACGGTAAGATCCATTGTCTTTTGAACAATGAAACAGTCAGCCAGGACAACATTCTGCTACTAGTGCCACATGAAACCATTTCAACTAGTTACTTCAGGGCAATAGGCTACAAGGAATTATTTAAAAAAATCCTCAAAACAGTTTAGAAGGACCTCCAGGAGATAAAAGCACAAACTTTCATACTCTTTCTTGGCATCACAAGTAACAGTCGATAGAGCGTTCTTGCTGTCAACTGTTGGTATCACACAATGTGTTTTCAGAGTCACTGAAGGTAGCTGGGTGGGTCAACTGTCACTTAGCTTTAAGGCAGAGCTATGTACAGTATTTTGAATTTCCCGCCGTAAACTTCTGTCACATTACTGTATTTTTATTTTGTCGCAATTTGTTCCTTCCCAAGGTCGAATTTGCTGTTCAGGTATAGATAACATCCCAGGTACAGATGACATCCCAATACCCACACAAATGTTTGAAAGAGGTGAAGAGAACAAATTAAAGGATACAGTATCCCCATTACGAGAAACAAACAGGAAGAGCATTGACAAGCTAAAAGACTCAAAAGCTCCAGGTGTGGATGGAAATCCAAAGCCATAAAGGAACTGCAGATGTATTATGCCTACCACTGAAACTTCTTTTAACAAAATCTCTAGACTAAGGGATAGTTCCCCTAGCGAGTCAAATACACATATACCGCCTAAGTAAAACAGAAACAAGTAACACTTAGTGGGCCAGCCAGAGCCTTAGGTCCCACGTAAAAATATCCCTGAAAAAAAGTTCCCCTAAACTGAAAATATGCAAATGTCAGGGCCAACAACAAAGAAAACCAGACATGATATGGCTGACTGAAACTTAAAATACTGAATAATTTGGATGATGTTGATCCAGACAACGTCTTCAAAAGGTCAGATGTAACACAAACAAGAATCGATGGTTTCAAGCTCAAGCCACTATGTAAGACTGGAAACATGAGATGCTTTTTCACTCACAGTGTAATTAACCCGTGGAACCGCCTCCCTGCAGAAGCCGTAAAGGCCAAAATTCTGTAGAATTTTAAGGCCGTGGACTTCCTGTCCTCATCGAGACCACTAACGTGCTAGTGGCTCTCAGGTAAATTCAGGAAAATATTTGCTTCTCTGTACTCATTTAAATGCGATAATACAACTGTAATAGTAGTATAGCTTGAAGTTAAGTTTCCTCTAGTGCTTAATGTAGGGTTGGTCAGTTACTTTTTGGCACATCATATATTGTGTTTCCCTATTCAACTATTATTTTTTAATCCAACAGACATAATTGGCTCAAGATCTCAAGTTACGAATAAAGTAAGAGAAATGTCATGAGTGGAGTACCACAGGGTTCAGTTCTTGCACTGGTAATGTTCATTGTCTACATGAACGACCTATCAGAAGAAATACATAATTATAGGAATATGTTTGCTAATGATATTAAGATACTAGGGAAGATAAAACATATTAGATTATTGCCATGCTCTTCAAGAAGATCTGGACAAAATATAAATATGAAGCACCACTTGGCAAATGGAATTTAATGGATAAATGCCATTATGGAATCTGTAATAGGAGAAAATAAAACCGACACAACCAACAAATAACGCTAAAAAGTAATTATGAAAAGAACGCGCCAAGCCGGGAAGACTATGTAGACTATAACGTGAAAAATCCGTATAAAATTCTGATAAAAGAAAAAAAAGAGCTAGTGTTGGTTCTAGGCAGAAAACTATCACCCGAGGCCCACAAAGAACATTGGCCGAGTAGCTTATGTTATGTAGTATAAGTAGCCTATTAACCTATGCTACTCAGCCTTTCCAATTTCAGAAATGCTTTTAAATACATAGATGGTGAGATAATAAACTGTTTACGACCTTGATAAGACCAAAGTAGGAATATGCAGCGTTTGTATGGTGCCCATATTTTAACAGGCACATCAACAAACTGGAAATAGTGCAGACATGCAACTAAATGGCTTTTGGAACTGAAAGGCAAAACAAGTTAGAAGATAGAAGAAAAAGAGAGGATATGATCACTACGTACAAAATTTTAATGGGAATTCATAAAATTGATAAGGTAGAATTATTGAGACCTGGAACTTTATGAACAAGAGGCCATATTTAGGCAAAGCTGCCATAGAAATAAGAAAATTCACTTTCACAGAGTAATAGATGGTTAGAACAAGTGAGTAGGTGGTGGAGGCCACCTTCCTCCACCTTCACCAAAACCATCAGTTGTTTCAAATTGTTATATGACGAAGATGGAATACCACAAGCATAGCTCTTATCTTGTACTGTATCTACACTTAGGTATTTACTGTACTTCACTCGGTTATCGACCTCGAGTCTAATAAATACTTCCAAGAAAGAAGCCATCACCAACTACATAGCGAGTGCTCCATTGACAGTCATTTATGGTGCCAAGAAAAGTTTGGAAGGGCTTTGAGTTCACGAGAAATTCTAGAGGTAATTCTTTAATTATTCTTTAGGTCATTATTCTAAGCTGGAATGAGAATTTTCTAGTGCTCCCTAGTATCAATATGATCCTGTAGGTATAAGTTGAGATATTGTCTATGGTACTGGTGCTAGAATATCAACCTGCTTGTCATAATCTTTTTCCAAATAACACAGTGCACATTAATTTAGGAAATAATCGAGTAACCTGATAAAAAAAAGTTTATATCCACTTGAAGCATTATTTGTGACATCTTTTTAATATAAATTATAATGGAGAAAATATTCAACTGCATTAACTTCAAATTATCTGACGTAAAAACAGGATGTACAGTAACATGTATGTGCATCCATATGGGCTGTTGCTATGCTTATACTTTATGTACATTCAGTATTGTAAAATGTAATTTACAACAAGCATTTTATTCATGTATTATGTATCTGATTATTTTAATTAAAAATTAATGTATATTTACAATTCTTCAATAACAAAATCAACAGTCAACATAGTAGCAATTGTATAATAGTTTCCAAAACAGGTAGAGACTATCAAAACATGTTGCTAAGGTACAGCATACTAAAACCAACAATCAATGCAAGTTCTGATGGAAAACTTAAAATTTACATCTCTCATAGCATTGAAAACTGAATTGAAGCAAAAGTGTAATTCCATAATACAGTAGTATTTTGTATTTTATTATTGAATATTTCTGTATTATATATAAGTGCTTACTTCCACCATTCAAACGAAATA